TGTTTTATGCATATTTTTTCATTAAAATTTTTGAGTTCAATAAAAGTTAAAAAATAAATTTGGTAAAAGAAATAATTGTCAAAATGATCTTAAACAGATATCATAGGGAAAAAAATGTACTATACTATACAAAATGCACATATACTAATATAATATAAATAAATAGAATTTACTAATATTATATTTATTAGTATATGATATAAATACTTATGAAATGATATTTGAATATTTCAGATATTACTATATATAATGTCACTTCAAAAAATAAATTCTTATTCAAATAATTATTCGAACAAAATTTGTTATTTCTTATTTGCTATATTAATTTATCTTTAATAAATATTATTTAAGTAATGATTATTTTAATATTTGTTATGTTATTTGAATATTATAATTAATTTTATTATTATAATAACTTTCGAATATAAAAAATTGGAATTCCATTTTAGGTCAAAAAAATAACGTATTTAGATATAGAAATACAAAAAATCATTATATTATTATATTATGTGAAAATAAAAATTTCATATGAAAAAAAAAAAGATTTCATCATATAAAAATAAAATAAAGTAACAAATATTAAAATAATTTATCTTTTTAAATACATTAACATTCAATTAATATTATTTAAAATAAAATGAAACAGTAAAAAATAAAATAAAATTTTCATTTGAATAAGAATTCCATAATATCTAATTCTCTTTAGTAATATAAATAACTATTAAAAAATACAATCAATCACTAATAATCAAATAATCTTTTATAAATATGATTTTAAAGCATGAAAATTTTCCTTTCGCGTAGAATATATTATCGAAATTACAGGAGAAGTTATATCCAGTCGAAAATCGCATTGAATTACCATGATTTCGAATGCAAGCAACCAACTTCATTTCGCTAACATTCAAGCAAATTCTCGAGAAAATTTCCACCATTTCATTCAGTCTAAACGTACAATATATTTGAAACGTACGTGATCTCGTTATTTCGTTAGTGATCATTTGGATTGTTCGTTTTGACTAACGATTCTTTAACGATTTCTTTATTCTTCTAAAATGATCATTTCACGGATTTCACTCGACATCGCAAAATTTAAGATGATTAAACGATGAATATGAGAAAAAAGAAGAGGGAAAAAATATGGAATAATAGGGTGAGTACGTAACTATTGAAAGAGAAGTCTCAGGAGATTCATCTATTTTTAGGTTATGAAATATGATATGTCCTTTGAAAAAGGACAGTATCGCTTTGAACTTTTTCGTGTAAAATATGTTTGACCGTTTGTTCGAATCGACGTGCTGCGCCAGCGTGTAGAAAATTGTAGAAAATAACTAAAATGAAATAAAGAGAGGTAAAGTATCTTTTGTCGAGTTGGCATTTATGAGTTTCTTTTATTGAACAAATGCTAATTAGTCTTATACAATAGTGTCAACGGGAATCAATATTAGTGTTGAATATAATTCAAACAATAGTATTGAAAATGGTTATTGAATAGAAAATTTTTTGAATCTCGTTAAAATGTAAATATAGATAATATTCGAGGATTTACTTCACGTAATGCTATTAAATATATTTATGGAATTGAAATAATAATTTTTTAACTATGTATTAAAAATAATTATTTGAAATATTTTATTTGTGAATTTTATATATCTAAATTTGCATTGATTATTTTCAATATTATTTTTATGGTTATTATTTAAGAAAAATAAATAAAGAAGTAATTAAAAAAAATATAAATATTTATTTATTCAAAGAATAAACTTCTTATATTTATTAATTAATGTAATATATTTATTAATTATATTAATTAATTAAACTAATCTCTCACACTATGACGTGTAAACACAAATTTTTAAATATGAAAAAAATATATATTCTAATAAATCATATCAAATTCATAATTAAAAACTTTATAATTGAAATATTTATAATATATTATAAAATTAAATAAATCATATTAGAAATAATATTTTATAGCATATAAACAAATTATTATTTCAAATTAATCATTTAAAGAAATATTTCTTTATAAATATTTTATTTCTTATTTCAATTATTGTTACTCAAAACTAATTAATATATTAGATCATAGAAATATTTGAATATTATCTTACAGAAAAATTCAATTCTCTTTAAGAAAAAATAAAATCAATTTTTAAATTTCTTATATCTTTTATATAAATATAAATATTCTATAACTATTAAAAGTTCTATAAATATTAAAATTCAAAGATTTATTGAATTTTCTCAATTTAAAAAGAATACAATATATATAGTAACATAAATATTAACATAGATAATAAATAATAATAATATATAAAATATAAAACATAGATAATAATAATACGAGAATAAATACACAGTATATATAATAATTTACTAAAATATTTAGATATTTCTATCTTATAATTATCTTATAAGAATATTTAATAAGGAAAATAAATGAAAAAATATATAATAAATAGAAAATCCTTATTTTTAAAAGTATATATAAAACATAATGGCTTATAAAAAACAATGATCAATTTTTTTCAACATAAAATATTTCTGAAAGACTGAAACTTATTCTCAAAATTTCAATATTCTTTCATGTTTTAAATATGATTTCACCTGAGAGTAATTTTTACAACAAGGCAGTAAAATAAATTTTATAATTTTAAAATTTTAAATTTTGCATTATTTCGTATTATAAAATTTTAAAAAACGAAAAAAAATTTTAAACTTTAAAGATCCATTTCTTTTCTCGGAATGATACCGCTATAAAAAAGATTTGCACAGGATAATTCATAAATGCATATTCATAATTCAAAGGATGAATCTACAGGTTGGAATAAATTGAAAATATAGATCTTATATATCTTATTCGAAATATTCTCGATCTTGCACTACTATATTTATTATATTGTATGCTATATTTATGATGTTTCTTATATTTTCTTAGTTTAATTCATAAACAGAAAAAAAAAACAAAAACTAAAAATTTGTTTCTATTCGTTCTAGAAAATTGATTCGATTTTATACATTAAATTAAATATTTTGTTATAGATAAAAAAAAATGATGATGGAAATGGTAAAAAAATTAAATAAAAGAATAAAAAAATAAAAATTGTAACGCGTTTAACGGAACTGTTCTTTTCAAGGCACTTTTATATGCAATTTACCGACAGCCGGTAACGGTTAATTTCAAATTTCGTCAACGGCGCGTGACAACAATTTGTTATGCTCGCGGTTCGTTTGTTCCTTGCATTATAACAGTGTTTCCCAATGTTTTTGGATTAACAGAACATTTTACAAAATTACAGAATAGAATTTCAATAATTGTCATATATACGGATTATTAAATTAGAATATTAATACGATAGAATAAAAAAAATAATATAAAAAAAAAATTATATGATTAACACAATAATGCTATTTTTTTTAGCAAAAATTATATACACAATAAAACTTTCGAGTTTATTTTCTTTTGTAAAATAAAATTTATTTCAATAATAGTAGTGATGCATTATATTATTTATTTTGGAAGCAAGGTTTATTATTAAATGATTTAAGATTAAAAGACAAATGGTATTAAAGAAATACATTAATTTAATTTTTAATAAAATTTGGAATCCATAAATTAGACAATATTGTTCTTTTTTTTTATTTATTATTGAATGTCTGAAATTTTCTATAAAGAAAATATATTTATTTTATTTTATTTTGTCTTAAATATTAAATGAAACTTGTTAAGTTCTTGTTCAATTATGAAATGAAAATTTTCTTATATATATTATATATATTTTCTTATATAATATTTTTAATTCATATAATGAAAGTTTTATTGTAACATATAATATATAAAAAAATAATATAAAAATATTTCTATAACGAATAAAAACCATAATAATTGATAAATAAAGTTCATAAAATATAATAATGATTAAAATTATACTATAATTAGATTTTTGGAATATATTATATTTGTCAAAATGAAAATTTTTTTCTTGAAATATATATTTGATTTATTATGTATCTATATTTATTATATTTCTTTTTTATTTAAAAGAAATAAATAATTTAAAATATGTTATTTATATTAAAATTAGTATTTATGATTCTTCTCCTCAATTTCTTTGTTTAGACAATTTATTTATTAATTTATTAAAAACA